AAATAAAATTGTGGTTCAGCATAAACTTTATGCTGACAAGAAAACAAAATTGTCTTAGTGCAACTCGCACTATGAAGCTCTATTTGGTGCCGTGACCAGGATAAATAAAAGTTTCAGAATGCACAAATGTTTGCAAATAATCACAAATAATCAGCTTTTGTAGTCATAAATCACACTATTAATTTATTTCAAGTTTTCGTGAGACGCCCACTATAATTGTTGACGTAAGCACTATTGAAACCTGAAATTTGCAATCCAAATCGTAAACACAAATTGTAGAAGTTAGCGTAATACGCCCCAATGGCGGTAGTAAACAAATAAGTCTGTTTTCAAATAGGCATCACATTTTGTGGCACAAAACTTTGTCGCTGCAATATCTGGACACAACAATCGTTGTTGTAGATCAAATATAACTTTATCAATTCCCTAAGAAAGAAATCATCGGTTTTCGTTAAAAAAGTCCTTCAGCCATCACAATCGAATATCATGTGCGACATGTGAATTTATTAAACTAAGAATCATAACATAATTGATAAACTACAACTTTAAAATATATATTTGCTGTCCGTAGCAAGTTGGCATCACTGTAGTTAAATTTTCGTTACGAAATAACTCTAGGGATGCCAACTGCACCGCTTTCTGCAAAAGTTTTTATAAATTGGTAGCAAAATTGGTAGATTAAAAATAATTACGCCTACTCTTTAAAATAGTAACCCTGAGTCTGAGTACTCAGGCCATCAACCTTCTCTGGCGCAGTGTGTACAGTTTAGCAACACAAATTACAACAATATTACAAACCACTAGGAATGCAAAACTGTTTGCTAAAAGTTGTTAGACGGCTTTTATAATGTTTATTCATGAAATAGAAGACTGGTGCGTTAAATGGAAAACAGTTGTAAATGCAGACAAATCTCAAATCTTAATCATACAGAAAATAAGAATAAAAATACTACCACAATGCAAACCAAAACTGTTCAATATCCAAATACCAATAGTTAAAAAAGTAAACTACCTCGGGCTTATAATGAACAGCAAGCTTACCTGGAATGACCATATCAAAAATATAATAGACAAAGCAAATACAGCAACAACAATAATAAAACCACTCATCTATAACTGGAATGTCTCATTAAAACTAAGAAAACTACTAAATGCATCAATGATCAGACCAATTCTCACATATGCCTCACCAGCCTGGACAACCATACCGGAGCATCTCATGAAAAAAACTCTACCAATGTCAGAACAAGAAACTCAGAAAAATCACCCGTGCCAGATGGTTCACCAGAAATACAAATATCCACAAAGACCTCAAGATCCCGACCTTAACACAATATATTGACAAATTAAATGCAGATTTCTATGACAGGGCCCTAAAATGCAGTGCAGTGAACTTCAACCAGATATTCAATTTTGAAAATTACAAAGACATAAAATTAAGACCAATAGCTGCTCACTTTACATCAGACGCCTCATATCACAATCATCAGAATAAATAACTAATCACAGATCCATCCATGGCATCAGATTCAACAACAATACTGACAACTTGATCAAGCGTTTCCCCATGTTTACTATCAATCTACATTCAAAGCCACACATAGTTTAGAGCAAGCCTGCTTCTTGTAATTCCATTATTATTATTCACTCAAGCAAAGCGCTTGAATCCCAATAACAGCTACCACATTAACTGCCAACCTTAAAGTTCTACCACAAATATAAAAGAAACATGATGGATGGGATAGGGGCCGCTGAGCGGCCCAGATGCCCGGCTCAAATTTCAAGACAAGACAAGATCAACCACTGTTCTTAAAACAACAAAAATCTAAATAATGTTGCTTCACTTAAAATGTCTTGTAATCAAGTATTTGTCATGTAACTACATAGATGCCGCACGCAACTAAAATTGTAAAAACTGGTAGAAGCCCAATTCTTTTTTCTTTAATTATTCTAACAGGACTACCACTGTGACTTACTTAAATTTAAATAAAAACATACATTGCTTTTATTTTCATTAGTAAACTGAAAATAATAAGCTATAAAAATGTTGCTAATTTTAATCTCTTCTAATAAAATTTTGAATTATATTAATCACCACTTTTTGCATTTTTACAACAGCAATCTTGTTACAATTTACGAAAATGCAATTTTGTGAATCTGTCAAAATTAGCAGAGAAACTTCGAGTGATAAATAATGGTAATATTTTATTTGTCTGCACTAACCCCATCTCCACACCAGCCTTCTTCACTCCAATATTAATTATCTGAAAGTGGCTACTATTTCCATGATTTTGGTAGCCAAAGGCTATTAGTGTAGATTTAACCCAGCAACGTGATTTAACGAGCACCTTGCCACTTATACACGCAGGTTGTTTTCTCCCGATGAGGTTCAACGTATGTTGTACAACGTATGTTGTACAACGTATTGATATTAAAAGTTTACATTTCAAGGCTGTGTTAAAAATATAATTTGTTCTCAAAGGAATACAAAATTTTATTACGTTTGCCAAATTTATATAATTTAATTTATTATTTATTCCTAAAAACAAAAACTAGCTTAAATTAATTCGCATTAAATTATTCACATATTTATTAGTATCATAAATTGAAAGGTTTTTGAAAACATTCAAGTAACTGAAAAATAATAGAGATATTTAGCTGTTGAAGCCGGTATGTATGTTGTGCTAGTAGCGCCACCTACATTAATTAGAAATAAAAAGTTACTTCTTAGTTGATTTCATTGCGTCTTCAGAGATAGACCAATGCGCTGTTCTTAATAAACTCATTAATTATTCACCCGCAATTTATTCTTTTTGTTGTCATTTACCTAAAATCCGATCAACATTATTTTCACTAGCTCGTAATACGAACTACGCAAACCCGCAAACGCAAATTATAGACAAAATATTAATATTATCACCTTTGTATTCCAAAGTTAAATTGTTGTAGTAGCTGCTCTGTTCTGCCACGTAGCATTCCAAACTTTCAAGTACGTATGTTTTCCTCAAGCTCTGTAGAGAACCGGAATTGTTCGATAGAACAATTCTCGAAACGTGCATAACATACATAAATACGTGTTCGAAAGGTTCTAACGTCAAAAATAATTGATTCAATAGGATGTTGAAAACAACGATAGTCCAGTTACTTACGGTTAGATGGCAGCGAGTATTTTGTAACAGCTCGTGGACACAGTTTGTTAAATGGAATGGGTTTCACACTTCCCAATGAGAAGCGTTTCGGAATCGTCTCTGGGAGTTGAAACTGAATCTCTGGTGATGGAAAACAAAGTTCATCCCTTGCTCCGCAATCAGGACTTGAACTGTTGTCTCCAGTAACTTTAATCATGATTGTAGCGTGGGCAGGTCTTTCATATGCTTTTATGGTGGATACAACAATCACATCCAGGGCAAATGTTGAACCTATATATTCTTTAATAAAAGTATAAATAATTAGTCGATTTGAATGCAGCTACACTGCTAAAACATTTGGAGCGTTCTGAAGTACCTCATAGTAGAAAATTTGCTGCAATCATAACACAAATCCAAACGAAAATAAAGTTAAACCATGTTGCGAAACATACTAAATAGAAAAGTGCTCTGTACAAAAACATTGTTTACTTTATTTCCTTTTACGGTTGCAAAAAACGTGCATAATAATATTATTCAACGTTGTACTAAATTTTTTAAGGATTTCTAAACATTTTGGAGCGTTCTACAATATTGTTGGAAATTTATTGCAACCTTAACACAATTCTAAGTTGAATCATGTTACCGAACATATTGATACACAAATACTATGGTTCACCCAGAACAGAAACATTGTTTACTTTAATTCCTTTTAAGGTTGCAGCATGGTTCAACATTGTACTAATTTTTTTTAAGGTTGCTAAACATTTTGAAGCTTTCAGAACTACATTGACGTCGGAAATTTGCTGCAACCTTAACATGATTTAAGTTGAATCATGTTACCCAGCATTCTAACACATGAATACTATTGTTCATCGAGAACAGAAACATTCTTTACTTTATTAAATTTTAAGGTTGCAACAAACGTGTATAATATTATGGTTTCAACATTGTACTTATTTTTTTAAGCTTTCTAAACATTTTGAGGCTTTCAGAACTACATTATTATAGGAAATTTGCTGCAACCTTAACACGATTCTAATTTGAATCCTGTTACCGAACATACTAATACATTTAAATCTATCAAGCATGAAAATTTGTTTCGACATGTCTGGAACATACTCTTAAATTTTCGCTGAACTGGGCTATAATGTTTACGTAAATTAAAAATTAAAGATAGAAATATTTATAAATACATAAATGGGAAAAAATCAAAAGCAGAATAGAAAAAGAAATATTATGATTACTATTACTTCCAAATCGTTTTCTGATTTAATACTTTTATGAGTTTACAGAGAAAAATGCATCCATTTAGTTCGATTGGGAAAACATTACTTTACCACATATAGGGGTTGGACAAAAATTATGAAAACACTTCTCTACTTACTCTATGTAAGCAATATTTCATACAGCAGAAAATGTTTTGGAATATTTTTCATGGTAAAACTGATGACGCAATTGGAAAAGTCACGATTGAAGTTTTTAGAAATGGTGTCATTTTCACCAATTCCAAGTTCGGATGGACCAAAATAAGAAGTGAAAGTTAATATTTTCTTTCTAATTTTAATACCAGCAATTTTGAAATCATTCTATAGGGTTGCAAAATTTATATCGTAATGTTTTTTTTTTTTCGTAGATGCATTAAAAAAGGGGAAAAAACGCTTTTAACTTCGTAAGCTCATCTTTTTAGTGGCAAATTTTTCATGGATAAAAAGGACATAATTTTTAAGAGATTCAAAAAAGATGTTTCAAATTGTGCTTTGAGTTTTGCCTTGTAAAATCTTCCAGAATTTTTGCTGAAAAAAGAAAGGTTGTTTGTATAGAATGAGTATAAAAGTGTTTCCATAATTGTTTCCAACTCCTGTTAAACAAAATTGAGATTCGTGAAATGTAATAAAGTATAAGTGTCACTCTGGGTAATAAATAGTTTCCATAATTGTTTCCAACTCCTGTAATTGATATTTGTGAAATGTAATAAAGTATAAGTGTCACTCTGGGTAATAAAGTAGGTTCCATAATTGTCTCCAACTCCTGTTAAACAAAATTGAGATTTGTGAAATGTAATAAAGTATAAGTGTCACTCTGAGTAATAAAGTAGGTTCCATAATTGTCTCCAATTCCTGTTAAACAAAATTGAGATTTGTGAAGTGTAATAAAGTATAAGTGTCACTTTGAGTAATAAAGTAGACCAGCGATTCCCAACCATTTTAGTTCTGTGGACCAACAATTTTGTTAAAAACAAACTGCTTCAACAATTTTGTTGAAGAGCCCATTAACTACTAAAGTAAATATTATAATGATAAAAAGATACTAATTATATACGTTCAGTATTTAGTAAAAGATACCGAATAATAAGAATTAAAAAATATTTTAAAAAGAATATAACTTTATTAAATTCACTTAACTGTCACAATTGAAAGTAAATTAAAAAAACAGCGATTTATCTCACTAGGACTATAGAACCATGTTTTGAAAAAATGTTTTTGGATCCCAAGCTACGGTCCAGTACCAATCTGACAGTGGCCCGATTGTGGCCCTGGATTGGGACCCGCTGATGTAACCAATCAAAAATTAAAAATTAAATAATTTTAACTTAAGTTTTATAAAATATTTTATTATTTTTAAAGTAAATATTTCTAGTTCGAACAATAAATAAAAAAAACCGCAATTCATGAGTAAAGTGTTAATACCTGCAATCGATTTTCTCCTGTGAGGTGACAGTAAGAGGGAGCCTGTATGTTCATCCACCGAAAAGAGCCATCTTCCTTCTCTGTTACCATGAGGGAAAATAACGCTTTTAGTGATACGAAATTCAAATCCATCAGTTGTATGTTCCCATGAGTTTTCTAAGAAGGATTGCAAACGGTAGAACGTCACCCCCGTTGGAAAATCGCTCGGAAGCTGGATTGATATTGTCTCTTGCAAAAAAATTAAACAATGACCTAAAAATAAATGAGAGAATCAAATAATATATGACAGCGTCAAATGTTTGCAATATAAGAATCAACAATTTAAAATTAGATATTTATTCGTAAGTTTGTACAAACAAAAAGTGCGTACTTTTACTGCGATTTCGTTACTTTTGAAATATGTTGTTGTTGCTGTTTCTAATGCCACTTGCCACACGGGCAAGCCTGCTTGGTGAAACCGAGCAAATTTAAGATAGAGTGTGTGTTTCTTGTTTTTCAGTGGCGCCATCTATGGCCAATAATTCGACTTCTGCCTCACCATTCACACCCGTGTACGTTTGAAATATAGTACAATACACCATACGTTTTGAAATACTATAGTACTTTTTATTTATGTTTACATTCGTCATTATTTCAACTCTTTTGAGATGTAGGTTATTAAAGGTGTCTTTAAATATAAAATATTGTCTAAAGTTTAAATATCTCTAAAAAATAATAAATTTCATTATTAGGGTGCGTTCTGTATCAGAAATCTTTATTTATTTACTGATTACAGACAGCTCATATGAAATTACTACTATTTAAAGTAAAATACAAATATTTTTTTTTTAAGTTCAACTTCCATTCCAGATTTTTTTTAAACTTATCATCGTGGTTTTCTTCTCCATGTCATGTAAATACTGGTTAGTTTCATTTAATTGTCCCAATGCTTGATCAAGAAGTTTCTTTTTTGGGGTTGGGTTCAATAATTACGTTACCACTGAATTGAGCATAGATACAGTCGCAAACTCAAAATAGACTGGTTTTACAAAACTGGATAAGATAGATTTAATGCTTATTAGATGTCGGTAAACTCTGATAGTTTTCATTTTGAAAAAGTAATGGTGAATAAATTATTAGTCAAATAATGGTGAATAATATAACTAGTCAAATAAATTGATAATAAAAAGATTATGAGCTTATACATTTTACATTACTTTGAATTCCCCTGGTTAATAATTTTACATCACCCGGTTATCAATTTTAAATCAACCGGATATCAAGTTTACATTACCTGGTTATCAATTTTAAATCACCCTGTTATCAATTTTACATCATCCTGTGTTCACCCGGTTATCAATTTTACATTAATCTGTATTCATTCGGTTGTCAATATTACGTCAACCTGTATTCACCCATTTATCAATTTTTCCTCACCTAGTTATACATTTTACAGTTCTTTGCCTTCCCCCCCCCCGGTTATTAATTTTGAATACACTATAAATTTTTATAGGAAAACCTTTCACACAACTTCATTGAACAGGTTGTGATATAGTAAATTCTTAGCAGAAAAAAAAATGCCCGAACCTTATAACTTCAAAAATAGTAATCCAATAATGCAAAAGGCGACGTGTCTTGGTTTAGTAGTTAACTCTTATCTCTGTGACACGTCCATGTAAGAAATATCAGAGATAAATCGACAACTGCTATAAAGAAAAAACTCTCAACGATTGTAACCTTTAGATCAAAACAGGTCACTATGCTAAAACAATTCGTGTTTCAAACGTAGGATAATTCTAACTTATGCATCACCTATCTTTAAGAGTTAGGCTCATTGTGAGCAAATAGTTGAGTGCAAGTCATGGTTTATAAGAAACAACGAACTCCAAAAAAGACCTTAAAATATAAAGATTTGATAAACACGTTACCGAACCAAAAATTATTTTACCAAGACCAAATAAGCAATTTTTATAAAATATTCTATTGTTATCATTCGTAAAGTTAGACCAATAGAGTAGACCGGCCTATTCCAATAGACAAAAATCTTATTTATTAACTATTCATGCCATCGGCTCGTTTTTAATTTAATTCATATCAGCGTAAAAAAAAACTGCCAATAAACCATATGTATCTATAACATCAGTCTTGAAGTTTTCCTCTTTTTTTCAACCCTATTCCGCCAAAAAATTCTTATGGGTTTTTATGAGACATCATGAATCCCGGGCTAGTAATTTTGAATATCTGCGTTTTTTTCAAAAGCTAAATTTGACTGTATTTTAAGAAGTTAGAATATAATTTCCAGTTCTTAAGCTTAAGCTCTCCGCAATAATTAATATTAAGTTACTAGTTTTTATTTTTAAAAAAAAAGAATTCGTATTTCCAAATATGAGGATTCAAAATTAACTTTTTAAAACGAAATTCAGATATTATAGCATAGCTTTTATTAACGCTTCGTATCTTTTGGTAAATTTCGTGAGAGTTACATAATATATTTATTAAATTAAAATTTTCCTAATTAAACATTAGTTGATATTCTTTCTTTTATAAAATTTACTTTAGATTTTCTTTACGTTTTAGACACAATTTTTATTAAACATATTTTTCATACTTTTTTAATTATTTCCTATTAATTTGGGTCAAAATAAGAGAAAAATATTATATTTAGTATTCTAATAATTTTTGGTTATAAAATATAGCACAAAACACTGGTGTATTTTTCTGCGTTGAGGGTAAAATCTTCACAACTCGACTCACTTCCAAAAAATTATTATTTTCAAATTTGCAGTTATTTATAGCTAAGAGAAACAATTATTAATCGTTGAAATTTCTTTAATTTACAAAATCAGTTATTCATAAATTTTTGAATATGAATGAAAATAAAAAAATTCTATTCATTACTTCTTTTGGATTTCATATTTTAGTACAAATATAACTCCGACTTCGAACAGATTTTTTTAGCAACTATTAGACTGTTTTTATAATTAAAAAATACCGAAGTATATTTTTGCTGGTATATTTTATATTCAAAAAAATTATACATAAAATATTCACCGGTGTCCCTTCTGCGTCTAAGAGTAAATAAAGAAAAATACAATTATCTGGATTACATTGAGTTAACTACATCCAGACAATCCAACTGCTATGAATTCTCCAAAGTTTCAAAAAATAATTCTTCCGCTAGCAGCAAGAGCAATGTATTAATAAACTACAATTAACATATAAAATAACATTGAAATATATTTAATAAACTTGAATTTACTGAAACAGCAAGTAATTAATAATAGCACTTCGTCGTTAACATTTTGGTTTTTAATGTTTTGATAGAAACTTAATTTATACGTTTTAGAAAATGTACCATCCTTTTTTTAAAGCATCAAATATGTAATATGGTTTTAACCCCTTCTCTGACGGAATTTTTTCCCCCGAATTTCTGACCCCCCAAAAAGCATTTCCCCCAAAGCATTTTTTTATTGCAGAAAATTAATATATTTTCTTTTCTAAATTCGAAAATGCGAAATATTTTTGTCAGGAAGCAGCTTCTTGCTTGACCTACTGGTGGTGAAATATGTGATGTCCCATTCACTTACCTCAAGTTTTCCCTGTAATGCACCCAAGTTTTATCTTTAAAAAAATACACTGTGCTAACATGTTTATTAACTAAATTGCTTTAAGGCGTTTAAGATAAGTACCTTCATAAAATATTTATTAAAATTATTTAAAAAGTATTTTAGAAAATAAATTTCCAACTTAACCTTAATAATTTTCCAACCAAAATAATTGTCCAACCCATATTATTAATAACCCAATAATTTCGAACCCAAAATATTTATACATTATAACTATTTAGACCTGCAACGGTAACACTAATGAAAGCGAAATTACGAAAAGTACAAAATGATTTTGCGTTCAATTCAAGGCGGGAAAACTCACTGCGAAAATTGTAAAGAAAGTGCGACTAGTTACGCCATCTCTTAACAATATTCTGAAACACAAAAATAATCGAGGAGTTTAAAGAGACGTGTAAGAGACGACGAATTAAATTTTAATGATGCAAATTTTTCTCTTCGTCGCATGACATTCGACGCCGACCTTACAGGCACAAAAATGCCGAACGTATTAGATGCGATGCCGACAGAAAAGGGGTTAAAATCATTAATTCATTTTATATGTTTCACAACTCACAAGATAAAAAATATATTTATGCGTATTTGGTTTTATAAGACCGGTGAAATATAATTTTTGTTAAATATTTTATTTTTATAAGTTTGTTTAACACTATTTTGGTTCTAATATTTTTTTTTTTGTAAAATATGTAATGCACGAAAAGAAAATTTAAAACAGACTACTAATTTTGTGTTGATACATTAAAAATCGTTTGATTAATCATTAGGTACTGATTAATCATTTATTGGTGTTAATAAAAATATAATAATAATAAATAGTATAAAATAGTTTTAAATAGTATTACATGAACTAAACAAAATGCTATTATGAGTAACAAATATTTACTACCTCAAACAAGACATCATTTGTACGGCATTTATATTCACTGTAAAATTTACATTATAATATAGTTTATAAATTTCATAATTTTTATGAATACATTTTTTCACTTAAGTTATAAAAATTAAAAATGAATTGCGAACGATTTTTTACGTCCGCCTGTATAGTGCAGTTACATGAACTGCTTAAATATTAGTATATTTTCTTCATGTGTTCAATTTATCTCTACTTTTAGTAATGCTAACATGAAAGAAGTTACACTTATTTCCTTGATTGTTATGTCACTGTGTTGAAATGTTAGAAATGACTGTTGTAATTACAAACTGTGTTTTAAGAAAAGCACAATCAATGTAAATCTCATACTGTTTGAAAACAAATAACACGTAAACAAATAACACGTAAAATATTACAATAAGAACTTTTATGACATGATATTCTTCCACAGAAATCCATTTCTAGTCAAATTCTCATAATTATTTTTCTTTTCATTAATTTTTTTAGAGACAGATGAAAGTTACAATAAATTATAGCCGAATTCATAGTTTTTCATCCAACATAAACATTAATCATCCGTGTATAGAATTTTAGGACATCTCAAAATAATGCGAAGTTTGAATCATAATACTGTTGCACTTAAATTCCTTCAGAGACATATCATTCATATAAAAGAAGAAAAATTCTATTGAAAAAGCGAAAAGAATTCCCTCTTTCGTTATAAACAATATTTTTAAAATTCAGCTTCCTTTAACTACAATGTTATTCTTACCATAAAATAATTGATAATTTTAATAAAATTTAAACTTCTAATAAAATTACAACAATATATATTAAAAAAAAATATCTCCGTAACGTTAAATCCCAGTCAAGAATCTTCATTTTCAGAAAACGATCTCAACAGTGACGCAATACCACTGCAAGCAAATGATCACGATCGTTTGCTGCAAAATATCAAAATCAATGATATGACAAGTGAGAATAAAGCGTTTTTATTTTACCTGTAACAATAAAGAGGGAAAAGCAAAGACAATTCAGGAATATTTGGATCATTGTTTGATAGTTCTGTCGTCAAATCCACAATTTGATCAAACCGTCTCACGCGAAAGGATAGGAGACTATTTCCACTGCAGTCTCCCTTTACCGGAGAAACAGCTGTTTGGGGAAAGAGGAAAAGCGATTTGGGGAAATGTCGCCAAATTGTTATGTTTATGGAAAATCTCGTTTAAATTCAAGGTTAAACAAATAAGCATATTTCAAAGGGATTTATTGGATATTTTAATAAACAGGAAAAGTAAACAAAAGAAAAATAGAAGGAGAATTTGTAAATAAAAATAAATTTTTTTAACTGTTTTATTTGTAATCGATTGACAATCCATCTCTTTTAGTAAAAATTCAAATGTTTCTTTTTTTGAAAATTAATACTAAAACAATTAAATCAAATATGTATTATTTGGATAACATATATATTTGGAATCGATTGTATGATTATAGTAAATTATTTAAAAAAATCAATGTTGTTTTTTGATAAATAAAAGGCAGGAAACAGAAGTATGTAAACAAAAGAAAAATGGAAGGATAATTTGCAAATAAAAACGAAATTTTTTTAAATGTTTAATTTGTAATCAAATGACAATCCCTCTCTTTTAGAAAAAATTCAAATGTTTCCTTTTTTTAAAATTAATACCGAAACAATAAAATCAAATATGCATTATTTGAGTAACATATATTTTATGAATCGATTATATGATTATAGAAAATTATTAAAAAAATCACTGTTGTTTTTTGATAAATAAAAGACATATGTGAATGGAAACAGGAAATTGTTTTAATGTTTTATTTTGTGTTCAAATAACAAATTTCCCAACTTTTTAAGGGAAAAAACTAAGATAGCTATAATTAATACTGAAACAATTAAATTGATAGTGCACTAATTGGTTAATTTTATATTTTTAATTTGATTATACGATTAAAATAAATTATCAAGCAATTAAGTTTTTGTAAGCAATTAAATTTTTTGATAAACCAAAAATATTAAAACTAGATAATTGTAAAAATAAGTTGAAAAATCCTAAACAACAGATAAATTTTTAAATAAAAATTGGTAACCTCATGCGTCACAGGTAAAGCAAGCACATTATTTAAAAAGAATTAAATGGTTGTAGTAAATTTGCGGCTAGTTATGACATTTTTTACAGTCATTCTATTTTAAATCATGTGGCCACTTTTTCAAAAATTGGACATTTTAAAAAATTAAAACTGATTAGATCGTTATGCAATGCATTTATTTTAAGCATTTCTCAAACGCTACAAGGGTAATTTCAAACGTGAAGAAACATTTTTTTAAAAAAAGAAATGAAATAAATTAAGTTTCAGAATATTAGAAAATTTTAATTTCGATTCCTTATTTAAAATAAAACAAGCAATAATAAAATCGTCACGGGAGTGCCTTTCCGACAAAAAATGTAACGACTGGGAGTCGATTGGCAGACATTTTTTAAATCGCTGGTTGTTATCTATGGTCATCCTGAGGCCAGCGATTAATTTTCAAAAAAAATCCTTAATCACGTAGAAAGTGTAAAAATTAGAAGAAGAAAAAGGAAAAAAAAAAAAACAATTTCCCGAATCACAAAAATAATTGTGTTCTGAATTAATTTAAAAATTTTCTTCCAACAAACAAACAAATGTGGGATTCTAGAATTTTTATTTTTTAATGAAAAACTACTCGTAACATTCGAAGGTAGAAGTGGTAGTGGAAAACGGTGTTCACGTTTTATTTTATTTTATATCCGCCGTTGAACAACTGACCCAATTTTATGGGTTTACGACTACTAATGTTCAACTCCGTGGCCTTGAACCTAATCCAGAAGACAAGGAAACTCCTGGATCAAGTACTGGGAGAACTTCATGGAGGACTTTTTTATGGAATTAACCCACATTTTCGTTACATGAGAGGAAAACCACGAAAATCACCCACGGCTAGCTTGACGGCAAGGAGAATTTAACCCTAGATCCGTAAACCACTAAGGATATTTTACGTCAGCACTGCGATCGGTGCGAGCCGGGTGTAAAATTCGAATCTACCAGTCGACGCTAGGATCGAACCTGGGTCACCTCACTGGGAGGCAGGCTCTCAATCACCTGATCCCCCGCTGCTCGCAGGTGTGGTATTGGCAATGCTTAGATAAAATATTAAATTCCCCTTATTTCACAAATGTAACAAAATGTAAATTTACAAATGTTACAAATGTAACAAAATTTATGTAACAAAAAGTTAAACTTGGAAAAAATTCCGATTTTGGAAGAAAAGAAAAGTTGAATTTGTAGAGAAAAAAAATTTAAGACAGTTTTGAGCTCAAAAGGTACCTAAATAATATTCTACCCAAAATTTTATGACATTTTAAAACTAGGTTTTTTTTTAATGCTAAGTTCGGGTTTTCATTTGAGTTTTATTCTAAAACTAGATTACGACATTAAAAACCAAAGTTAAAGTTAATGAAAAGTCCAGCGGGGATGAAATTTAGACTTTCTAACGTAAGCATGGGAGGTGAGTTCGCGATATGCTTATTTTCGTTGATTAGGGGGAGGAGAAATCTATAATTATAGAAAATAAGCTTAAGTAATGTTTTAGCGACTGCTTACCAGTCATTTCGCCTGATAGTAGATTAAAAATGATAATATCCTTGACCTATCTGAAATTATACAATTGAATACTTTTACAGGGATGCCAACTGCTCCGCTTTCTGGAATAGTTTAAATAAAGTTGTAGCAAATTATATATTAAAATTCATTAATGAAAGATAGTTAAGCCTTCTTTTTTATATAGTAACCAGAAGATTGATGCTTTAACATTGTATTTTATATCATACTTATAATATTAGCTATTTAGTGCTGAATAAATTACTTAAAATAAAAAATACTAAACTAAAAGTAACTTAAATTTCGCTACCACTAGAAAATACTATTTCACCAAGCGGAGCAAGTTGGCATCTCTGCTTTTATACTGATAATTGATACTGATGATTTAATGATTTTGAAATTGTTTTAGAGATTTCAGGGAGCTATGCTGTCCATCAACAATATTTACTTACCCACCTTTTACTTACGCAACTTTTACATTATCTCCTTAAATCAGGTCCGAATTAGTTTCAAAAATTCAGCGTTCGCCCACTCTTAAGCCCCCCCCCTTTTGTAAGGATTCTTCACTAGTAATCACAAGGGCCAGGATAGCCTGGTTGGTAGGACGTAGGCTCATGTTCAAAAGGTCATGAGTCCGATCCCCGCCGGCCGAAGACTCCCAGTGTAGTAAAATGGTGACTGGTGCACTGTCGGGTCACAAAGTCCTCCATATTCCAAAAACAAATCATACCTCTAGGATTACTGAATTGGAGATTGATAGTTCTCTGGTTCAGGTCAAAACTACTATCTATGGATGTATCAATGGGTCCGCCCTATAAACGGATGGTGACGTATATGTGTGGCAGATATCGAATTCTTGGTCATAGATTGCACAAACTGGAAAACAAGAAGAAGTGCACCCTATTTGCCTTAATGGCATGCGAGATCAATAACAACTTGTTATAGCATGAAACTATCTTCTAGCTAATGAATCGTGAATTCATTAGTAGTATAATTTTACAGGTGTCGATATAGTAAAGCTGCATCGGAAGTTATTTGTGCCTCCACCTACTTGAGATGGGACAAACTTTTCGACCTAAATCTAGCAACTGATTTGGACGGTGGGAGTAATCTCTTTGCGTTGTTAATAATAATAAAATTCGTTACGCTAATCAATTCATTTTTTAAAAAAAACTTTCAAAATGTGTCTCTTTATGTTAGAAGCTTTCTGGATCGCTGTCTATTACAGTTAAAAAACCAGTGTATACATTGGTAGAATTTTTTTTTAGTTTAACCAGCGATCTCATAAAACTGAAAGGAAAATTTCCAAACCGATTTTTGATAACTTTCTGTTTTAACATTCCAAAAAAGTATTCTGATAATAGAAATCCCTCGCAGAACTTCCCTAACAGGCACTGAAGCGTGGTGGTGGCGGGTTCGAATCCCGCTGTAAACAAGTATGTATTCTTCGTGATGTCCTCTGAATTGTTCTATCTGTCCTTCTACTAGGCAATGGTTTATAAACCTAAATTGAGCACACAATCCTGCAAATGTATGTAATTCCAGTAAAGTAATAACAGATACTCCCTTCGTCCCTAATTAGTTACTAAATTTTGGAGAAAAGTATGTCCCAAATTATTTGCTATATTTCAAGAAAGTAGAATCATAAGTAACTTCTGATGCAGTTTAGTTATCGACACCAATAAAATTATATTACTAATGAAGTCACTGTTAATAAGCTAGATACAGGGGTTTCCAACTTACATGTGGCCGGGGGCCGCAATTTAAAACACCAGTCAAATGGGGGGCCACAACTTTATCAAAATTTTATATGGGACTCTTTTATGTTTGAAGGAACACTAAATATTACTGTCAGATTTTTATCAAAGTTTTTTTTTTAATATTAAAAAGCAAAATAACAAGCATTACAAATAATGCTTGTTACGTATCATTTTGAATCTTTTCTTAATCAGAAACTTAGTGACAAGATTTTTTTTTAAATTCAATTCTGTGATAAATTAACATTTTTTCGACTTATTAGGAATTATAGCAACTACAACAAAAATGAATTTTTTTGTTGAATGTCACTCTGATAGTGAGGATTCTCTGAATTTTTTAAACTAAGAACTGATTTAAGGAGGGAATGCTTGGTAAGTAAATATTGTCGATTGATAACATAACACTAGAAATCTTCTAAAAATCTTCAATCAAAATTGTAAAATCATTAGTAAAAATAATCTGTTCAAAAGTATTTTAATGTATTAACGAATTTAGTGCAGAGAGAGTATAATCTTTATAAAATAATTGTAAATGTAAAGAGATGAGTTTTCAAATGTTATCTTAGAAATTTTGATACCAGTTTTATTAGTTTTTTTGAAGACGCTGATGGTCAGCTTACTCCTAGATTAAATGTAGACTGGAGTGCTTCTGTATGAAATTTATTTTTCTATTAAAAATAATCATTTTGGCAAAGAAGTCTTTCCTGCCCTGAAGATAAGAAACAGAAATAAATTTATGAGA